TCATTTTAAGTTAAAATTTGGACAAAATTACATATTAAAAAACCTAGAATAACTTTTTTAGTTATTTTGTTGTGGTTGTATAATATTATTCGTAGGTACTTGAAACTTCTAAAGTATACTACTATATATATATGAGTATCATGGTTTGTTATTGATGTATAACTCGTTATAAGTACCTAATGGATATTGTAGGTCAATTTTTTTTTAATACTAAAGATAAGAATATAATATGTCTTATACCTAGACTGTCATCTCCGCTCAGAATCGTTTTTCTTATACAACGATATTATTATATCATTGAATTCAAGTTTAATACCATCCATTATACAGTGATCCACTTGTAACCTACTGTACAGCAGAGCACCTTTTTTCAATTTACTTTAGTATAATATAACAGTGTATAAAATAGAGAAATATTGTACGACATTAAAAATAATTGGAATCATACGAAATGTTCGAAGTTAAATTTTAAGTTCGTAATTTTGTATACAAATTTAAATAAATAAAACTTGATTGCATATTTTTATACTTATAAGTTCTTATGACGTTATCATTTCTTTGAGTAGTATTTAATTATTACCTGTATTTTTTTCAAGTAGAATAAATTTAATTAAAAAAATTCCGAGGTTTCAAGAACTTACTTTTTAGTTTATTCACGTACTGTACTATATATTTATTTATGTATAGATAAAGGTATAATGCTGATTAAAATTATCCGTAAGGGAGGTAAAGTTTTTTTCAATGGCTCGTGTGAATGAAACTTGATTACTATCACGTCCCCTCGGTAAAATCGTATATTCTTATATACCTATACATAGATATAATAATCCCGTCATACGACTCCCACCGTGGAAGTTCCACGCCATCGTTAAACCTTAACTGTAATCTTTTTTGTATGTATACGTCACTGAACTTTGTGGCGGCCATCATGTTAAAATAACAAACACGTGTTGTTGCTTGTTGAATACAATCGTGGAGTAAGATTAAAGATACTATAAGGAAATAAAAATACAAAACAATACAGTTCTCGTAAATTCAATAAATTTGTCTAATATATATATATTTATTATATAGGTATTTACCTATGTTATTATATTAAGCAATAAGATCATCAAGGGGGAATGGGGGATGGCCTGATTTGTCGACGCTAAATAATCGTAAAGTCGTTCGGAAGAGATAGGGCACGTAAATAATAATAATAATAATAATAATAATAATAATAATAATAGTAGTAATTAAAGAAGCATTGGTTTTGTATTTTTTTAATTTTAATAATTTATAAATTAATTTTTTTAACGTTTGATAGTATCCTTCTCACACAATTCTGGAACAAAATTAGATTCGATTAGAGATACTCGATTCAAATTCATATACTAATAAACTATATTTATGTTTAGTATCTATATAAATTGTAATATTATTTATTATTAATAAATAAAAAACATTCAAATTGTAAATCTTAGATTAGAGGAGTCGAGTGTCTCTGTAAATTATTGGTGACAGGTCATAATATTATATTATAAGTAAAAGGTATCTTTGTCAAACTACTACCTCTGTCAAAATTTTACATCAAAATTATCTTTGAACAAAATATTTTTAAACTGATATTTGTACAACTTATATTAATATACATTAAATATGTATTATTATAATTATTTTTTTTTTTATTTTTAACTACTTTAAATTATGCAAAATAAATATTTTCAAAAACGTCAATATAGTTTTTAAAAATTCACACATTTCAGGAGTATATTGTTTTATAATTTTATATTTATAGTTAGAAAAGCAACTCATTTACTTCCAAGCTTAATAGTAATAATATAAGAACCTACCAATATTAAATTATAATAAAGTAAAAGAATTGTCTGCTTCGTGTGTTGTGGTTGTGAACTTGTAAATAACGAACTGCACTTATATAAGTTGTATTCTATACAGAGCTAAATATATTTGTTCTTACCATTATAATAAAAGAATTGAAGATTCCTTATGTACTAAAATATTATGACCTTTTTTACTTTTAACAATATATAGGTATACCTAGTTATAATTTACAAGTTAAAATATTTTGTAGTAAGTATGGTATAAAAAACTGATTAAATATAACCTGCAATATGATACTATGATATGTAAGAAGATATTATTGTAACAACACATTTTCTTTTTCCAAAAGATATTTGACCAGTCAGTAAAATGTACACTAGGCTCTTTAAAGCTTTAAACTTTATGTTTATAAAATATAAACAATTTTTTTACATATAAACGATACATTAGTATACCTATTGTCAACATTTTCTAAATATGAAAAGAATAACAGATGGACCATTACTAAAAATAGTATATTAATCCTAAAAAATTGAGTTAAAATAATATTAAAATCATTTTCGATTTTTTTGTGTAGCTACATTCAAAAATGTATTGTATGTAAAAATTAATTAAAATACCAAATCACATAAATTGACAGGCCACTGCTGTTTCGTGAGGTAATACTCTATTGTTATTAAAGTATACATGTATGTAGGTGCCTAGAATGTACTGTGCATGCACGATACGCAAATTTAATGGCGAACTGAGCAGATCAGCCCTGGGGACGCGAATAGCCGATCGTAGCATGGATATGGGACATACATAATATGTACGGCATACATAATTATTAATAAAATATATACGCATAATGTATTATACTATTGATATTATCATACGACTTTCAAACTATTGTCGTACTTTGTTAATTATGTTTGGCAGTGGTTGGAATGGGGGTGAAGGGATACATGTAGCTGTGGTTAGAACGCTAGGTGATTTTAAAATGATAGCAAATAATATTTAAAATTAATCCATCAGTTATTTTATAATTTGTAAGAATTATCCAATTATGTAATAAATACAAGATTCAATATTGAATCTGTTTTGTATTTTTGTTAAACCATCTTTAACGATGACTATTTTATTATCCTTGGTAGGTATTTACATTTTAATCACTCAGGTACAACTCGTTCGAATTTTGATTTAGGTAAGATAATATGTATAAAAAAAATTATCTGCTTAACAATTAAAGTAAAGAAGATTGGTTCTCATATACAAAAAAAATATATGTTTGTATCACCACATATTACACTCATTAAAAAACCATTAAAAATATTTGTCATAAGTATATTATACTGAATAATTTCAAAAATTAGAATTTGAATAAATTCATTATTAATGAGAAAAATGGGGGTGAGAACTGAAAGTGCTCGGTGGATCGCATTGTATAAGAGGACATTGACGCGTATATACATATATACAATATGGTATAATACCTATACATTATACATATACATATAATATTATATATATTATATATATATGTACACAGGTTTGTGTACTGCATGCCGCCCGTAGCTGTGTGTGATGAATAATATTATTGTTCACAATCAGTGAACGGGTTAAAAGCACGCGCTGCACAATACCGTGTGATAATCGTCTGTAGCGGTATCCCCTTCCCCTTCACTACATACACGCTCATTCATCACTATACGACCTTTCTATCACGCGGTTATTCGGTTCCCATAGATCATCGTGGTCGCCGACGACGTTGAGCGGGTCCGTTCGATCATAATTTTTGTGTGACGCGTTGTGCAGGTACCTAAGTATAATAACACAGTTACTGCGTGTATAATAATAATATATTAATTGATCTATGCTGCGGCGTACATGGTACACATCGAGTGTGTCCAATCCAGGATTATATAATAATAATAATAATGATGATATTAAAGCGTGGCCCCCCGTCGAATGACCAGCTTCTACAAATGTTTCCATCTTATATAAGTATTAAATATTATTTTAAAAATACACACCTATAAATTTGCTTCATTTATTAAGCCAGTATAGTTACTTACACAAAACGTGATAATACCGAAGTTGGGATGATGAGCATCTCAATAAACCGCATCACGATTTATAATATGTATTATGTATTATGGACGTATTACAGTTGAGACTTGAGGTCCCAAAAACTCAAACATTTACACTTAATTCAATCGAAAATAACCTTATTGAGTCCAAAAAATAATACGTAATTGAGTCCAACACATCATTTAAAATAATAGAGTATTAAAACTCAATTAGGCGTATTATTTGACGGAATTCAACCATAAATATTTCAAACGTAGGACTGAACTGTATAACCATTATGTATATTATTATATTATATTACAGATTATAGCTGTATTACATAAATATATTTTAATATAGCTATAATCAATGAACAATGAGTTTTATATCTTTCACATGGCTATATAAGTATAGTATTACCTGTAATATGTGCAGACTGCGGCTAACATTTCGGTGCCCGGGAACTATAGAAAGACGGGCGACGGGAACAAACAAAAAAAACCTTCTTTTAAATAAAAAAGAAAAAAACAAAAAAGGGGTTGTGTATACGAAATATATTATTGTACCTAGTAATATTAATATAGAAGAATCACACAACACGATATGACGATTATTTACCGACTGACAAATGCATTTAATGTATTTAATACAATGAAAAACAAAAGTGTTATTTTTTAAGCAATGTTATACAAACGTCAAACACGAAACAAAAAAATAAAAATGAAGCTGGTTACCGCATACATACCACATACGATACATCCGCATATACTATGTGTAGGACGTAGGTACATCGTTCACCTCGTCGTACTGTCCATCCCGTAGTTGTCCGTTTTTATATGTATATAATTGTATAATGATAATAATAATAAAACATAATATCCAACCTCCCGCATATTATACTACGTTAACTTGTATAGCTATACGATACACTTCGGGCCATCACATTATATATTATATTATTATATTACGTTATTATGACAAGGCACGCAGGAGGGTGCGTTCTCCTTTCCGATCCGGAATTAACACGTTCGTTTTTTGGTTATATTATTATTATACCGTCGTGTGTGCATTGTTCCAGGTCACAAGTCCGGCGGCGATGCGTCCGGCATTCCGTCCGAGCCAGTGACATGGCCACGTTGTCGTCAGCTTGCAGCAGTTACGTACGCCAGCCGCCCGGACAACCTTTAAAAACGCTAAACGTCACGAACGCCATTCTCCGGACGGACAAAGGACAGGCGTCGTCGTACCGGCCACAATGCACGGGTGAGAATTATAATATAATATTATGTTATTATAACTATATTATTAAGTAGCATGTAGGTACGTGTTATACGTAAAGGCATGTATAAATTATATTATTTTAATTGTTATTCTACATCATTTGTATCTCCGCCGATTACCAACTCACGTTTTTTAATCTACGTTCCTCGTCCTTCATCCCTCCTCCATCCAACCATTCCTCCTCCTAACTACCATCGTTCACCGAACGGATTACACTATCCATCAAATCAAATTGGATAAGTATATTCAATAATAGATGCGCCGGGCAAAAGCATATAAATTATATTAAACTACATGCGGAAAATCCATAAGTCTAATGGGTCTAATGCGTGTATGGTGTACCATTGTGTAGCTTCGAGCTTGTGGGTTAAACGAAACAAGTGCAATTAAGTCTAAATTATGATAATAAGCACTAACAGTTATAAAAAAAATGATATGAACCATTTCCACAAAGAATTATATTATATACATTTTGGAACCTAACAAAATAATAGTTTTAGGTGCTGTTTAATGTACTTCTGATTATTGGTATTACTTCTATAGTCATAATGTATATTGTACATAACAATAATTACTTAACAGCACTTAACCGAAGGGTGAGAAAAAGTTACAGATATGTATCGGATAACAAAAACCCGTTTCACATTTGTTCAATAGTAATAAATAACTTCGTTTATTGCCTGTTCCTAGGTAAATATTTGTATACTACTTTATGTACCTACCTATTGCTTGTGAAAATATAAAAGCCTTAACTACCAGCGACTCATTTGCTCGACTTAAGAAATGGGTTAAACAACATGATTAATATTACTGCCGTTATTACTATGATTAGATAGTATAAGAATTGTTCGATAACCTTCAAGCACACGTTTACATAGTCTGTAATTATATATCCATTACTACAATATAGGGTAAATGAGATCCACGGCAAAGCCAATGGGTTAATTTGAATTGTCAAAATATGGTACTAAAATTATTACATAACTTTTATTTGCACATTTACATTAAAAAAAAAAAATTAAAAATAAAATTCGACAATTCAATGTAATTTATTGTTTTTCCTGTAGTTATTTTTGATTTTTTCGATTTCATTAAAAAATGTTTTCATTATGTAGACTACGGATTAAGTTCCGTACTACTGAGTTTCTGTGGAAAGTTATCCATATTGTATAAAAAATGTAGTTCCGTTTCGGGAGCTGGAAGAAATTTCTACCCATTATACGAAATGGATGAGACATATATCTGCATAATATAAAACAGATCTCACAAAATGTAGGTATACTCCTATTTCTTATCTATATTCTATACGAGTAGCTCACAAACTTCGTCAAGGAAATCAGACAACAGTATCCTAATTTTCAATAATATATATATCATATATTATTTAAGTACCAATATAATATATCTGTTCTACTGAGTACTGTAGTTAATGAACGACGAAACATTTCCCGGCGAAATTCAATCTTGGCGTTTCCACTATATAGATACGACAAACCACAAAATGTGGTTTATTCAATTTCTAACGGTTCAATAAACGATATCACTTTCACTGATGGCCGATGCGACAGGAAATTTGAAAAAAAAATCAGTTTAATACATATACATATACATATAGGTACGCGTATATAGCTTCCGTATCAGCTGCTCCGTTTTCCCATTTAGAGAGGAAGTGCTCAAAATTAAGCACTCACATTAGGTATTGCTTTCCAGTCGGGTGGTCCAAAAATACCTGGAGTTCACGGTCTATCTAACCTGCACTCGTGTAATCATAATGCGATGTCCGCTTGTTCGTGTCGTTGACATTGGGAATCGATATGGCTCGTGCTGCAACACCGAATACCTAACACTAGGATAATATATTATACAATTATAGTCATATATACAATACAAAAAAATGTATACAAAACATAAAACAGGAAGGAAGTTGAAACACTGCTGTGTGGTTCATATAAACATTATGTGTATAATGTGTAAAGTATCGCCACTCAATGAGCAGTGATCCGAAAAACTGTATGCCTGTACTTACATAATATTATTTAATACTATAACAGCTACTAAATATGTTATATAAAGTGTGCCGCACTAGCTTTATAAAATTACGGTATATAACTAATAACATATAAGCGGAAACGAATTTATGAGTTTTTATTTTTCAGACAGAATTTTCTGAGTTTATATTTTTGAATTTTTGGTTTCAGCGAAACGAAAGAGCGCCGTGGAACTATTGCAAGAAACAAAATCGCTTTACGTCAAATCGGAAACAGTGCTCGACAGGAAACAAGAACTCAGGCGGAGTCTCCGAAGCAGTGGTTCTTCCGACAAGGGCTCATCATCGTATGACATAGCTTCCGGTTGTTATAACTATAAAGGTACGATGCTACAACGTTTTCCAATTATTGAGTTGTATAAAAATCTATATTTGTAAAATTTCAATTACCTACGTCAAATCAATAATTATATACACTATACAGTCATACAGATCCTTGTTTGACCACCCCTTTAAAATGAGAATATCGGAAAATCCTTTCTTATTGCACATCTAGACCATAATATAAACTACTACACCAAATTAAAATTATGTACGTTTTGTAGTTTTTGAGATGTAGCGATGAATTAGCGAGTGAGTGAGTAAGTGGTATTTGGATTTTATATAATATTATAAAGATTATAATATATAATATGTATGTAAAAATTAAAGTTTTCATTTATGTAATTTTTATTTCAAAATTATTTTCTTGAGTACGACATTTAATCGAAAAATAGTTCTGAGTTGAAATTATAAAGGTGATTTTAAAACTTAAATCGTGTTTATAAAAGTTAAATAATATATGGCTTGTTTCTGTGACATACATTTAAATTTGTCGTGAAAACTTATAACTTGATAACATTTATAAACTAAAATTTACGGGCGAACCAAAAAGAATAAATCCATTAGTGACTTATTATACTCATTAAAAATGTCTGTGTAGGTAACTGCTGTAATTGGTCGAGTGGAAGTTTTACTTGTCTGCCGCCACCTAAAAGCCCTCGACTGGTGGCTGGATGTCAGAGAAAGTCAACGGCGGACTCACAACAGCTTCAAAACGATCTCAGACGTCTATTAAATACTGACTCTAAAGAAAACTTATTCGAAGCAACTTCGGTAAGCAATCCACAATAATATAATATTAATTATTTTATTTTTTTATGAAATTATTAATTGCTTATTTATTTAATATATTATATTATTTAATTTTAGTTAGTAAGAAGTTTTATTTCTATACAATTTCATACAGTAAAAATGAAATGATTTTTATTAGTAAAGGTATATTGTATTTAGTACCTACCTTGTACTTATTTTTATAAATATTAATATAGTTTGGTTTTTTTAATTTTCTTTTTTTTTTAAAGCCGTGTAACTTAACAATGCCAGAGACGACCTATTTCATTTTAGCTGAATATTTTATAAGTATAAAAAAAATATTGCGTGAAAAGTCAAAACAACTGATGCGCGAATTTCATAAATTCTCGCGGTATAAAAAATTCTATATCAAACAATAGAGCTCGAAATAATGACATCTTTGCGTTGCTGCACCTCGGCCGATTTATTTTGTTTCACACCCCATGACGAAGTGCCATAGGTAGTACAATATATATGTGGGATGGTGGGTGTAGGTTACGGTCAAAGTCCGATTGACGGTCAATCCCAGGCTTGACCATTTTTAAACCTACAGGATCTACATTGCAGCAGATTTGTTAGAGTCCTACCTATATTATACAATATACAAATATTATCATATAAAGCTGAATAAATATTATTTTTCACAAAGATATCGACTGATACTTTCTGGTTATAATTTAATATAGCATCATGTATACCTATTAACTGGGAAATCTTACATCTTCCAAAATATGCACAGTGATGTGTATATTTTTTATATATTTTTTCTTATTTAGAATAAAGGCTTCGACAGCTAGGTCATAAGCCTGTGGTTGTGGTTACATTGTTATTAATGGATAATTAAGTTATAAATTAAGATTACATAGTTATAGGATAAGTGGTTTTTACAGTATTATATATTTACGTTATATTTGTAAATTATGCAGATTTATCCAATGTGTATATTATACTTATTACTTTCATATTTGTATTGAATTGACACAGACAGCACGTATGTGGAAGGAGGAGGAGGAGGGTAACGAAAAACAAAAACACTAAAACTCAAACATATCAAAAAACTGTTTATAATAAATATTTTAAATTCTTTGTATCCAGTTGCGCAAATACTATAAAATTCTTAGGGGAAATAAATATCACCAGATTTTATTTATACCTAACTTTATTTTACTAATTATACTTATACTATAAATGTCAAATTATAACCCTGGCACCCTGCAGTAGGATAAATTCAACAGAAATGTATGAAGATTGTATAATTGTATATAAAGTATAAATATAGGTACTGTAAATCACCAGTGTTTGAAGGTGTTTATTAAGCCCCCAAATTTCTCTATTTTTGGCAAACGATTGTACTGTTATAGCTATTATTTGTTATTATTACTTTATAATACTCACGGCATGCAGTATATTATACATATTGAATACAATTTATATTAAACAAGCTAAGTTATAATGGCAAACTTAAAAGTCAATAATAATCAAAGAAAACATGGGCTATAATGTGAACAGGTGTTCCTCGATGATGTCATCGTTCCTCCTCCTGTGCAGTACCGCCGATCGGTGTCGCATGGCCAACAGCAGCAGCAGCAGCAGCAGCATCATCCATGTTGTTGTGGACCATCGGCCGCTTGCCACAAATCACTTCCGGATCTCACGGATGTTGCGACAGCAGCCACGGAAGCAATTACGGATGTGGCAACGCCAGCGGTGATGGCTGGCCCGATCCGCCATTGCCGTCGTTCCACGTCTTCGGGATCTGTGGCTGCTGGAGACGATGATGACGAAGATGCCGATGATGACATATTCGAAACATACCTACCATCTCCGCCAGGGTAAGACTACACGCTACACACGTACGATGTAAATACATCCCCAAGAATTGTATGCACCTGAACTTTCCTGTTTAACTTTTCATGGAATTGTAGCCACATATATCTGACCTTTATCGACCAAAAGTCAATAAGTCATTAGATATATTTGTCAAGGCTCAAGTCGCATCTTATGTGTTATAAATATCGAGGACCCAGGTCGCTCTAAATTTCAATAATTTGATATCTCCGATTATGCTCCTATGCACCAGTATTTAAGGAAGGGACGCACAAGAGGCCCTTGCTTTATTTATTACAATTTACAATCAAACAATGAATATCAGTCTACAATTTCTCCATTTTTATTATTATTTTATTGTCGGAACCATAATAAATATAGGTATATAGGTACAATATAATTTTATAAATATTTAAATAATACATTTAAAGTATACCAATAACTATAATAGTAAGGAACTCACGTTTTATTTTTTTTTTTATAATCATTGTTCATTTCTTACCTACTATAATTTTCTTTTCCCTCAGATTTGGAAACAAGTCCAGACAAGACGAAACGGACTCGGTCGCCAACGTAACCTCTTTCCCGGATTCATTGAGCCTAACCAGTTACAAAACGGATGCCAGATGGCAGCAGTCTGTAAGACATTTTTATCCACTACTTTACAACGTATATAATATATATACTATACATTCACATTTATATTTATCTAATTATATTTCATTCACACACACGGCCGTAATTATTATCCGACGTCGTACTAGGAATGCTAAGATTATGTCACATTACTGGTTTTGAACGTTTCGATTATTTTTTTTTTTTATTATACCATTCAAAATTGTTTTTATGAAAAAAAACATCATGCATGTTTCGCATCTGCTGCTCTGGTTCTTTCTTCGAATTCAGAAGACTTTAAAAAGGATATTTGCGAAACTGTGGGAGTTTTCATCTATAAAATAAAAATTATATATGTACCTAGTATTATATCGTTACGGGTTCATCATTCAAAACCATTGGAAATACTTTAACACTCGTGGGCCATAGTTTATTTAGTTAAATTATATTAAATAAATTATATATAAAATAACCAATCTGACATTAATTTAATTGTAGAACCATGTACATAAGTTGGCTTTTAAATCACTAATATACACAGTTTATATAGACATTTTTTCAAAATAGTTTCACATTTCTTATAATATGGACTTTTTTAACATCAGATGACTAGTGCGTTTTAAATTTAATTAGTACTTTTAATAATAGGGCATAAGCACAACTTAATATAAATCAATAAATACAATTCTTTATTTTTAATTTATTATTGACTAATGCCTGATATTTAAATTAATTTTTTATCTTGGCGTTTATAATTGCCTTAACTCTTAATACATAGCGTAATTTACCGAGGAATAAATTAAATACCTACCTGTTGGTTATGAAAATATTCGCAGTGATACAATATATTATAATATATGAATTGCATGTGTAAATATTTGGATACTATATTTGTTTGTTTTTACCTGGTTATTTTGGGTTGTTTTGAGGTCGAACAAACAAAATAAAATCATTTGCCATAATTTAAATTAAAACGCAAACGTCGAAACAAATTTAAACAATAATTGTTATTTTTTAATAACATATTTACGAAACACCTATCTACTTATTTATTTGTATTCATATTTATTCAAGTAATAATAATTATTTTAACTTAGTTTGTTTTAATACAAAGTTGTATTGAATATTGAAGCTATATTTTCCTGTGAAAGCAACTGATATTTTTCAGTTAAATATAGTTATTTAAATAGTATTTATAATTTATATACTAGGCGTTGTAATTGAATAATAATAATAATAATAATAATAATAACCATCACACGGCAATCTGTATAATATGTACAGTTGAACAGTTAACGTACAATATAGGTACATTTAACAGCGCATATCGATATATTATTATGAAAGATGTTTACCTACAATGTATACGAAATCGTAAAACGTAATAAAAAAAAAAAAGTGGCAAAAATCGATACTTATATATTATGTATATTATCATCTACTATTATTATTTATAAGCATACTATATACATGCGATGTGTGACGTTCAGTGTTCTAATACGATATGGTCTTCTTGATATATTATACATTTATAAGTGAATTTTATATAAAAAAAAATAAAACCTATTAAATATGTTTATAGATCTCACAATATAATATTATATGTTATACTGAATATACCTGCAATATTCCTCTAATTATAGCGGTCGTGTGCGGGTCGCTTAATGTATAAATAATAGCATACCTATATATATTATATATATTATATGCAATAGAAACAAGATGTACCTTATGCGTATGCGTACCTATACAATATAAGTGCAGTAGGTAAGAAAAAATGTTAACATATATTTTCTTTGAAAGGCTCACGGAGGGACCGGAAGTTCGATCGAAGAGGAAAATGACGACGGAAGCGGTGGCGTTTCGCCGCGTTCGTCCGCATCGCCCGTCAAGTCTACCGTGTCACATGGCCGCTGGCGTCCACAGACCGTTGGAGCGGCGGCGATGACTGCGGCCGGTGGACACCAACCGACGCCTCCCGCTGTTCCACTACGTCGACATCAATTGCCGACGGCGACCGACGAGTTCCGCGGCCGGCCGATACTGCGCAGCAAGTCGGATGTGGGTCACAGGGCACCCAATTTGCTGAGTCTGTTGCCGGTGGAGGTGTCTAAGGCCGACGAACGACACGTATACGATCCCAGTCAGTTGGAGAACTTTTTCGGCCACCTGGGCCTCGATCCCGATGAGTACAAGTGAGTGCAGACAAATAGCGATTTCATAATAATAATATTACGATGATATTATAGCACACCGTTGTGCCAGCACACCAGCAACTGCAGGTATAACTCGCGTTATATACCGCAGTGGTGCGGCAAGAGCGACGAACTCTCAGCGGGGTGCTAAAATTAGTTTCCATTTATGAATATAATATAGCCGTGGGAGTCAAAAAAGCCCTCCGTGGTTTTTCATGTAATTTACTAAATCGTTTGGGTTCGGTGACTCATGGTGGGGCTGTTGGTTTGAGACTGCTGCAGGGAGCGCGTTATACATGTATTATGTCTATATAGCAACCCCCTCCCCTCCATCACAGATTTCTCCTATAGACCTGCTACACTATAAGTACGTTATAATGTTATTTACAGATTTAGACCATCGTGGATACATATACGCAGTTTCGCAAACATTCTTTTATGCACGTCGTAATATATACCTACCCGGCTACCCCACATGATTTTTATGGAATTAGTTTAATTCGTTTATTTGTATTGTATATGTTTATTTATATACCAATAACACAAATAATAATATTAAGACACGAGTCCTCTGCATATTAAATCGATTACCTTCACTGCTTCACGATGAAGAATAGTCCTTAAAATATATTACAGTACGAGTATACCTATAATTATATGACAATATGATATCACCATATGTAAATTTTAATTTTAAAATAATGTAGGTACCTACTATCAAATGTATAATGTTATCAGGGACGGACTGGGACAACTATTCAGCCCGGGAAATCTATATTTTGACCAGCCCTCACCATTTTGTCATCACTAAATGTAAGAATTAAATATGGTACCAAAGTTTTAACAAATGAGGGTTGCATCCTCTACTCATCTTCAATTTTCTCAGGAGACAACTTAAGATTCTCAATGTGTTTAGTATTTTATCTTAATTACATGTACTGCATAGTATAATCTATAATATAATATAATGTATCACTTTCTGTGGATGAAAAACATAGGTCGTTCTTACTGCTTTAAGTTTTAACTTGATATTTCTAAGAGTTATCCTTTCTCTCTCTCTCTCTCTCTCTCTCTGATTTTCTCAACCCCACCCTTTCTTTTAGTTTCCATTTTAAACAACAAATGTCAAATAGGTAAGTAAATATTACACTTTTTTGAATTAAGAATGTTCCATTGAACGTACGAAACTGTACCTTTTATAGTTATCAGCTTATGAGTACCTATCAAATTATCACAGATTATTTTTTATATTTTATTATTATGTAGGTATAATTATATTATATTTTTTATTGTGTACAATTTAATATTAGGTATTAGGTAATATTAAGTGAATACTGGCTGGCTAGAAGTGGATATATTAATCGATTGGTTTAATAAAGTCATATTAAGTTATAAATAGGGCATGGATATAAATACAATAAAAAAAACAAGAAACATGTCTTAAAAATACGATTTTATGCACTAGTTACAATATTACAAAGCTTAATAAAATGCCCAGAAAAATTAAATCCAATTTAAATGAAAATAAAATAGGTAGAACTTAAATAGGTATAGTCGTTAAATTTTGTATTTCATTATATCACTGGTCAGTCAGAAGCTAACTAATATTTTCAAATAAAAAACTTCGACAGTTATAATTGACAAGTATTGTTTTGTATAACTGAAGTCATAGGAGTAAACATCAGACGTAATAAAATAGAAATATTAGTAAAAAAATTGATTTTTAATTATATTAAATTTATTGAAGGAATTTAAGTAATAGTGCCCATAAAATTGTATTTATACTTATAAAATTTACGAAAAATTCCTTCAAACCATAAAAATGTCAAAAAAATGTTCTAAAAATCAATAAAGTTAAAAAAATGCTAAATAAAAATTTCATTTTTAAATTACTTTATGTATGAAATACATTTTTTTGATTGGAAAGCCTGGATGTTTAAGGAAATGTAGAAAAAAATTCAATTTATATTTAAATTTACACTCTAGTTATAAATAATAATTTGTGATTATGCATTGATGCCGAAGGGCTGGTTAGGTTATAATATAGGCTATTATATTTATACCTACCTACTGATTTTATTATAAATAAATAATAATAACAAATTATTTTTGAGCAGCGGCCCACCGGGAAAGTTCCCTGTATCCCGCCGGCCCAGTCCGCCCCTGAATGTTATATCTACACCTCCCTATAATAAATAATATCGAAGGTGTTTAAATTTAGAGTGCTTTGCAAACTCATGCGTCTTTGTAAAGACCAGCCCCATATAAACTCAAAACCGTAAACCCTGTATAACTTATGAATACACATTTATATACCTATAATAACGACCCGAAATCTATAATTACATATTCTGTTAAAACTTAAAGGCGACTATGTTCCAACTTTCAATTACGTTGGATTACAAAATCTATATTGTGTAGGTACATCTACATAAGTTACATTACAGGCACGTGTTATGACAGTGTCATTATTACCATGTACAGATGTACCTATCTATTAAATTACACTTAAAACTTACCGCAACCCCAAAGTTACCAAAGATGCACCGAGATGCACCTATATGGTAAGGAATACGGTAAATTATAGTTACTTATAAAATATTATAGTGCTTTATTGGGTTAGCACTAATAGTGCGCTTTTTATACTAATAAAATTAAAACCAAATATAAAATCAGTTACCTACCTATTTATTAGACATTTTATGTGGCCAAATTGAAAATAACCATAAATAACAATGACGGCGTTTCGAATGAAAATTATTTTACCGTGGCCTGGTTGCATGTTGAGTTGTGGTCACCGCTCTTAAAAATGGCTTGACCTCAAGGCTTAAATACCTATATAATATACTTTATATATATTATACTATATAGTTGATATATAAATTATTTAATGTCAAAATACCAAAGTTATTTTGGTAAAAATAATTTGAATCCCACAATAAGATCGATTTTTCAAAACCCATTATGTGGGTCGTTTACTCTATAAATCTACTTTTATGTACATATAGATCGTTTATAAATATTAAAAGTTTATATTTATTATTTTTTAATGTGGCTATTTTATTATAAGTTACAATTATTTTAGTATCGATTTTTAATTGAAAAAATAATATCTAATAATATGTTACCAAATATTCAACTACAATATAATATGGAGTTTTCAATGTCAATACTTATAAATTAAGATGCTTTTAGAAAGAAAAAGTAATATTCTTTTCTTTTTGGAAAATAATTAATATAAATCACTAGGTACCTACATTTTTATGAAACTATTTGTATATACCTAATAATGTAGGTATATTCTAAATATAATTTACAAAAATCCAAAATCAGAAAAACTATAAATTTTACTTATATAACTATTATATTGATTTATTATCTGTTAAAATTAACGAAAACACGCTGTGGCATACAACATGAATTCCAGTGGCGTGCCCAGAGTGGGAGATTAGTAGGGGTTATATCCCCCTATTGTACTATAAATCCCCTTATTTGTGTCTTTGGTATTACCACCAGAATTCATTTAAATGTATTATTATTATTATAACACTCCCCCTCCCACCCAAGAAAATTCTTTGACACGCCACTGATTAATTCAATAAATTAAAATATATAATAATTTTAATATCATATTGATAATTCAAATACCTCAGTAATCTCTTACATAATGTTTCCAACTGCTATAAAAATATTTGCATTAATAGCATTACTTAATTTTACTTAACGTGTAAGATTTTCAATTAGTTTCCGTCATTTAGAAACCTGTACAGATTTATACGCTTTTACCGGATCTTGCACAATTCTAATTAGTAATTACTATACTAGGTTCAATAAAAATCGATGGTTTAATTATAAAATAATTACTTTGGCAATAGCGAGTATAATGAAAATGTCAATAAAATACAAAACCAAGGATTTCTGTAAGTGTGATAATCAGTTAATATTTGCCACTGTTACTAAAAAACTATACTGTCTTTATGAATATGAAAATATTGCCAACTCGACTGTTATACAAAACCTTGTAAATTTATAATTCTTTCTAACTTTTCTTGTCACATTGATACTAAATGTATATTGTCTATAAATATACATAAAAGTATAGTTTTATTTACATTCCCGACTACCGAGAGATAAAACATAATAATATACAATAGCGTACGGGAACATACTAAACCGTATATATAAAGCTTTGTACCATTAATCCTTTATATTTAATGTAGGTATATATAATTCAATATCCCTAGTCCCTATACTATTTCTGTTGTGTTGATAAAACCGTATTGGTATTTTTGACTAAACATTTTGTTAAATATGAAAATATATGAATTAATTTATATTATATATAATTTTATTACAAATCACATAATAAATTACAATCCTTAGTTGATTTCCAGTAATGATAACGAATCAAGCCTTTCTTGAGTTAAAGACTTAATAGGTACAGAATATGATCGTTCACTACAACAATTCGTGCATTTTTGACATTGATAAGTTTATTTGTAATATACACTATAATATTACAAATAAACTATATACGTTGGGAAATGTATATCGCATATTTATATGTATATTTCAAGTATAGGTACTTCAAATAATAACTAAGATCTTGATAAGATTTAGTGTCGAGAAATGATTTTCTCAAATCTTGAAACTCTTTTAATTAATACTTAAATTCCTGTTTCTAAACAATTATATTAATGTTATAAGAATTTGTTTTGTACGAATGTCGATTTTAATCAATGATAACATATTTATTTACACCACTAGTAGCCATTAACTCGACTCGAATAGGACATTGTACATTATTAACCCAGATAGAAATGTTATGTTTAATAATATTATAATCACGAATAATATTAGTATAACGTTATTATAATACTATTTTAATATTATAGTTACAAAATGCTGTCTGGGGTAACTACTATGGAGGTTTCGAGATTTCTTAATTATTTGTTGCAATTACGAACGTCGAACGAAGCGATGCTCCATGTTAAGTATTA